CAGGTTGTGGGCTCAATCCCCAGTGTGGGGGCGGGAGGGGAGGAGCCAGCCCATTGATGATTTTCTCTCATCATTGATCTTTCTATCTCTCCCTCTCTTTTTTTCTCTAAAATCAATAAAAACATATTTAAAAATAAATAAAACTATAGGCCAATATTCCAGTGAATATAGTTGCAAAAAATACATATTATCTATAATTTATTTAGACAAGGCTTCACAGATGGCATTTTAAGAAGGTTAAAACAAAAGGCTAGTATTCTTAAGGGCAAATTTATCTAAAACTGAGAACTTTCTCTTTCCCTGTCTTTCCCAATATTGGGGATATCATTGATATCACTAATAACTGAAAGTTTTATTTTTTAATTGAATTTATTGGGATGACATTGCTTCTCCAAACCATACAGGTTTCAAATGTACAATTCAATAAAACTTCATTTGCTCACTTTATTGTGCACCTGTTGCCCCAAACAAAGTCTCCCCTGCCCCTGATTCTCTCCTCTGCCTCCAATTTAGACTACTACTTGTTTCATATAACCTTCACTGTAACATTGTTCTGATCTACATTATTTTTTTGCTTAGTCCTAGCTTTATCTGACTTTCTTAATTATTCTCACAACCTCTCCAACAGACTATGCCATCAACATATCCTACATACCACACCAAGGTATTCATTACCCCCAAAGAATCTCCTTTGCTTAGGAGAATGAATGGTATTCTTTATTTGGAACCTCTATAGCTAAGAAAAGTCATCCAAGAAACACAACATAACACACTAGTACATATTATCTTCCTGGACTCCATAAGTGGTTTGAAAGTTTAGAACATGGGATTTCCCATAGTGATAATATTTTTTAAAAATAAACATTAGAAAGAAAACATCCAAATGAGTTTTCCCTCCCTAAACTGTCACTTTGATGTGTTTTTTTTTATTTTTTTTTCACTTTATTTAGTTTTTAAAATCCTCACCCGAGGATATTTTCCCATTGTTTTTTTAGAGAGAGTGGAAGAGTGAAATATCAATGTGAAAGAAACACATCAATTGATTGCCTCCTGCAAGAGCCCTGACCAGGGCCTGGGCAATGGAGGAGCCTGAAACCGAGGTATGTGCCCTGAAATCAAATCTAAGACCCTTTAGTCCACAGGCCTATGATCTATCCACTGAGCCAAACTGGCTAGGGCAAAGCTGTCACTTTGAAAGGCTACATGCTTATTTCAATTATACTCCTACTATTAAGGAAAATTTTGGAATTCTCTTTTAAAATTCTACTTTACAGCCTGCATCATATACTCCGCAATAATCTCCATGGTGACAAATCTTTGTGGGGTTTTATTGTTGTTGTTGCTGTTAATCCTCATCCGAAAATATTTTTTCATATATTTTTCAGAGAGTGATAGGGAAAGAGGGAGGAGAGAGAGAGAGAGAGAGAGAGAGGGAGGTGGTTGCCTCCTGCACACCTCTGCAATCTAGGTATGTGCCCTTGACTGGCAATGGAACTCTCAACCGTTCAGTGCACAGGCCTATGCTCTAATAGCTGAGTCACACCAGCCAGGGCCAAATCTTTTTATTTTAAGGGTAGTTAAATTTTGGGATATAATCAAATGTCATTTAGAACCAAGACTGAACAATGAAGTTAAGGATGAAGAAGACAATAAATGGGGGATAAATGGTGGTAGAAGGGGACTTGATTTGGGGTGGTAAACACACAATACAATATACAGAAGATGTATTGTAGAATTGTACGCCTGAAACCTGTATAATTTCATTAGCCATTGTCACCCCAATACATTCAATAAGAAAATAGAAATACCGTTTGTGTTCAAAAGCAAGGTATGTTAAGGTATGACCATACTGTGTTGACTCATTTTTCTTTTTTTTTTTAAAAAAAGACTAATTTTTCATGATAAGCTCAAGTCAGTATCAAAGATAACTCCAAAGAACAAATTATGAGAACATTTGGTGAAACACAGCATCACTAGGGTAAGCAGATATCTTTGGAAAGTGATCATTTGAAGTTAAAAATTACTTGAAAGTATAAATATTGATGTATTTATTTAAATTAGTCTTAGCAAAGGCAACTTAGTGTAATGAAACTATGAGATTGAGAGTAAGAAGTCTTGAGATCTTCCAACTCTGTCATTGACTGTCTTATGTTGGGCAAGTCAATTTTCCTAGGCCCTCATTTCTTCTTTTAAATATGTAGGTTAAACCAACTAACCTTTAAGGACTCTTTTAGCTTTAATATTTTGTCATTTTACTCTGATTTTTAAATAGCCCTAGAATTTCATGTTGTATACATGTTCCCATTTACATGTATATGTAATTATTGCATACTATGCAAATATTGTATAAATAATTAGGCCTCATTTGTATTTGGCAAAAGCATTGCCTCTGCAGTCAGTCTTTTTGAATTGAAGTTCAGGCTTTGCCACTGACTGCCGGTATGACTTGAGCAAACTACTTGGTACAAATTGGTAGTTACAAAATAGTCATGGAGCCCAACCAGTGTGGTTGAGTGTCATATCATGAACTGAGAAATAGCAGGTTCCATTCCTGGTCAGTGCACATACCCAGGTTGCAGGCTCCATCCTCAGTAGGGGGCATGCAAGAGGCAGCCAATCAATGATTGTCTCTCATCAATGTTTCTATTTCCCTCTCCCTCTCCCTTCCTCTCTCTAAAAAAAAAATCAATAAAAACATATTTTTAAAAATTAGTCATGGAGATGTAAAGTTCAGCATAGGAAATATAGTCAATGATATTGTAATAACTATGCATTGTGCCAAGTGGGTACTTAAATTATTGGGGGGTCTCACTTTGTAAATTATATAACTATCTAAGCACTATGCTATACACAATATAAAATAACATTGAGTGTCAACTGTAATTGAAAATAAAATAAAAAGATTCTCTATCTAAACAATCTCATTTGCAAAATGAGTGCCTACCTCTATGAGTATTTAATAAGTTAACATTTCTAAGTTTTGTTAGTGTTATATAATTGTACTAATTAAAATGAATAAATTCTTATCATTTTAATCATTGTAAAATAATTATATGCATACATAAATTCTGGCCCCCCATAAGCGATTGCAGCTAATGTTTCCAGAAGGAAATAATTCAAACAAATTACATAGGTATATTTTTATCCTTATTAATAAAATATATATATTGTTATTATTTGTTTTGTCTTTCTGTTTGTTTGTTAGTAGTAGTGGTTGTGTATTTCGCTTTCTCTTAAGCCTGAGTTTGCATCATGATTAGGAACTTTAATGGCTATTAATAAATTAAAATGCATTGAATTTCCCTCAGTTAATTTGAATTTTGTATCACAAGAGGTATTCAGTCTCCATCAGCCCTTTAATTTGTTAATACCTCCAAAGGAGGTATAGTTCTTTACTTGAGCCAACCCATAATTACTTTTGACAATAGAAGTATGCTATTAGTTATGTAGGCTACTCCACTGAGTATTAATCATTAATTTAGGAGTGTTGTAAGCATAGTATGCTTCAGACAGGTGCCTGATTTTTTTCTCCTTATTTCACTGAGCTCTCCTAATATAATTATCCTGATTACATCTTGGAATAAATATTTCAAGTGGTCTTGAACAGAAGCGCTTTTCCTTTTTATGGGAAAATGCAAGTAGAAAAAGGATGGAGTGGCTTCAAGATATACATAAACTCTTATATAAAACTAGCGGCCCAGTGCACGGATTCGTGCACTGGTGGGGGGGGATGTCCTACGGGGTTCGGCCCACTGTGAGAGCGCCGCTCATCCTGGTCAATCAAGTGGCTGTGGACCCACCCTGACCACCAGGGGGCGGCTCCTGCATTGAGCATCTACCCCCTGGTGGTCAGTGCACATCATAGCGAATGGTCAACCGGTCCTTCTGCCGTTTGGTCACTAGGCTCTTATATAGAGAGATATTTAAGTTAAACACACACACTCTGTCTTAACATACAGAGAGTATTGTACTATAAGGAGTTATATCATTAAAATCCTGACCTCTTGATTAGGGATATAACTGAATGTGACTATTCTCCATATTTAAGTGATATGTACAGTTATTTTGTTCATGATTTTTTAAACTGAGCCCTAATATTAGACAAATCCCCTTTCAATATTTAGATATCTAAAATGGTGCTACAGTAATACAGTTCTCCTAAGAATAGGCACCCATGAAAAGGAGCTAAAAACAAACTTAACAAACAATTCCTTTTCTCAAAATCTACATCTTTCAAATTTGTCCTTAGATAATGTCTTAAGACTCATTGAATTTTTAGGTTACTAATCCATGAATAAACACTTGCCTAAAATCCATGTGATTCAACTACAACTACTATAGTCTTCCTTCTCAGCAATGTCATCCAGTTCCTCAAAACACACACACACACACACACACACACACACACACACACACACACACACACAATTCTCTACTATATGAAAAGAGTGGCCAATATGTGCTGAGATTTATATATGTATCCTAAAAGATTAGCATTGAAATCATTTGTGTAATCTGTATATAGACTTACTTTCAAAATGAGAATAAAGGATCGGATAAGGTGAGTGACACAAAATTTAAGGAATTGCTAAAAAAACTCAGTAATAAAGATACAAATATTTTAGAGCAATGTTTTTTTTTTAAAAAAATCAGAATTAATGCAAATCCATGATAGTCATAATATCAAAGTAGTAAATACAAACAAGATCAATATGACTGATTGTTACTTTTCCCTCGGTTCCAATATGACTTGCAGGACACTATGAAAAAAATATTACATTTTATCAAATACTCCAGAAACCACAGGCTTTCATGTTCTATAGGATTATATTAATGTACTGTGACCTGCCCATTATCTGGTAATCTTTCCAGTGGACAAACAAATTTGTGACAGGTAACTAGTGAGGTCTCTCTGTCCCTGCCCAGGGCCCACAGAACGAAAGAGTACTCTTTCACGGATGATATGAAAACAGAAGTCAAGACCATATTTGAGTACCTACTGTTTTCTCCAGTGCTGGTTGAACTCCTTAATCCAAACAATAAGGTCTCCTGAAGAAGCCATAGGGAATCTGGCTGGATTAATTTATTCATGCCTGAAAGAACATAGAAGAGCTGTGAACAATTGCAGGTTGAAGGAGATTTTCACAGAGGGCTTGGAAACTGCAACAGGTAGAACCTGAGACCCTCAAAATGTATTACCATAGGCAAAAGAGAGTATGAAGAGTTACACTTAGCCCTTAGTAGTAGCAAAGTAGAGTGAGTGGGAATTCCTTTACCATTTGACATATCTCTTTGAATTGGCAGCCTTAAAAAGGGTGAGAGAAGGTAGGAATGTCAGTGGCAAGGTTCACAAGTCACTGACTGCTCAAAAGGAGCTCTTAAGTATGATGAGTTATCTTCGAAAAGCCCCACAGCTTCTAATCAAACTCACAGTACAGTTGAAGGGCAGAAATGAACTTTTTTTTTCTCAGTTGGAGATCTTTTCTGAGGTCTCATGACTACAACTCTTTCATTGTTATTGAATGTACATGAAGGGAGATCCAGTTGACTACTAACTGTCAGCAAAGCTGGTGCTAAGTGGTAAATTATCTTCTATACAAAACTGCCTTATAGGTACCCTTGCAATGTTTGTAGATGGTGTCCTATGTGGGGTGATTTGGGGGCATCAAAAATCATGTCCTACTTCTCTCTGCTCCACTCTACCTAATGATCTCTTGCCAAGTTTTGACCTTATCTCTAATAATCTTCTAATAAAATGAAAATTCTACAAAAGGATTTTTATATTAATCCATCAACTGCAATCAATTACATAAGGTATTTTTCACCATAGAAAGTGGGTGGGAGGAAATACAAAGTGAGATACATTTTACTTGGTAAAATAGGGGAAATATAGGAACCTTAAGGGGGCAATCTTAGGTGGTGAAACATAGTAAAATTATCTGAAAAACCAGATTTTATCATTAGAGTTTACAGGGAATTATATAAAAGGGAAGAGAGGACAATTAAATAGAAGGCAGGCAATCAACTTAATAGTCTAAACAAATATGCTTCAACCTAGTCCTTTCAACAATCTCTACGTCATTTCATTTATTATATTTCATGAACAAGAGTTAAGCAAGATATCAAAAAATAGGTTTCAGTTTAGGGGTCACTTCATCAATTTCTTCTAGAACAGCCATATACACTACAGTCATTCTGTTTTACTTGCATTTTGTTTAATCTCCCAAGGCAGGTCACTTGGTAGAAAGCTGATAGAAAGTGGGTGTATAGGGAAAGAGCGCTGGTCAGAGACATAAGCTTCTAGTCTTGACCTTATCACTAATTAGTGGTGTTACCTTGGTAATGTCTGTTCTAGCACTAGGCCTCAGTCTTTCATCTGAAAAAAATGAAGTTGTACTAAGTTATTCCTCAGATTCCTTTGAGTTCTGATAGTCTAAGTCTAGTAGAAAGTTTGAACTGGTAGATAAGCCCACTATTATGTAAAATGTGGAAAAGATATGAAGAAATACTATCTTTCGTTTCCAATGCTTTATCAACTCAGGTCTGATGAAGAGTTATCAGACCACAAAAATAACTGCCTAATCTCTATATCCAATCCAAGACCCACAGTCTCAGATGCCCTTTCCTGATTAATACAGATTTGTTCCTGTCTTGTTCCCATCAAAACATTCCTTAGGGCCAATGTATCTACTTTCTAGTTCAAAACCACTGCTATTTAATAAATAGGTTTAAGCTAATGCATTAGTGACAGAGAAGTGGAAGATTTTATCCAGGACCTTCAAAGAGAGTGTGCAGGCCTTTTCTCAGAAGCCTTATTTTAAAAAATTAGTGGAAACAAATTGTAGACCCAAGCAGAAAGGAGGACATTAGGGGAGATGTTTTAAGTAGGTTGGATTCCTCATATCATACACTGAACCCTGCTCAGCAGCCTACACATGGACAAGTTCAGTCGGAGCATACTTATTGAGCACCTGGGGCAAAACACTGTTTTCACTGATGAGCCCAAAGTTGACATAGATAGTTATTCAATGGGACTTTTTATAATGTTTTAGTCTCTTTTGATGCTTAGGTCTTTGCAAACAAGGTAACTAAGGACTAGAGAAAGTAAGGAGTTCATCCTGAGTTATATAACAAGTTAATGGCAGAGTGGACTAGAGTCTAAGTTTTAATTCAAAAGCCTGTGTTCCTTTATCCACATCACACTTCCTTCCAACTACACATTCTCTAATATGTGTGTGGATATTTCTCTTCCCCATCTATAGTTACACCATTTGAATGTAAGCCTTACTTATGTTACTAAGTGTATGGAAGCCAATGGTTTTTACTATGTGCAGAAAAAAATCAGCACCTACATATGTCTCTTCCCTATCTCTCCTTACATACAGAAACAGAGACACACAGACATCAATTTCCACTGGCATGCAAGACTGAGATAAAATAACCAAAATGGGACAAATGCTCTTTTTCCTTTTCAACCCCTTTCCTGCTGCTACAATTTTCTAAATTATCAATATAGGAAAAATAAATGAAGTGATGAGATGAGCAATGTCTTGTTGTAAATCAAGTCACTATGTTGGATGTTGCTGGAGATTAAAACAAACAAACAAACAAACAAACAGCATGCTCTGTCTCCTAAAAACCTGTAGACTAGCATCAGTGACACAATATACAAAGCAAGAGAGAAATGAGTGAAATCAATTACTAAATTGAGTAAGTCAAATGCTAAGCTCTATAGAAAGCTGCCATATATTTAGGATACAAACCTTAATGAGGTTGGGATATTTCATATGGCATTTCTAAAGGTAGTGATTTCTCTAATTCATAAAACTCATACTTCCCTTTCTCATGTATTCAGCTGAAAGCCTTATGCATTTAAGCTGCAAGCTTGACCAAGAATAATGCTCCCGTTTACTGAAGGAAATCTGGCAGGTGCAACTTAATTTTCCAAGTGTGATTTCAGTCCAATTACACATAGCATTTTGCAAATTGTACAGAGGAGCTCTGACCAAAAGAATGCAAAGTACCTATTAGGCATCTTGAAGGAGAGATGCCCTCAATCATATGACTAGAGAAACTGAAAAATGAGGAGGCTTACTTGCCTTGTTCAGGTTTATACCCCTAGCCAGTCTCAGAGAAGCATAACTTGAAGCTCAAGCCTGTGACTGTGCCTACTAAAAGTATAATTTCAAAAAGAATTAAGAAATGGATGTCCCAAGACCCTTCCTCTATTTCCTCTTGGACAAGGAAGCATAGACATGGGGTGGGAAGATTGCAGAGAGCAGGAGGATGTGGGGAATAACCAACATTATCAGGAGATAAACTATGCTAAAACCTTGTTCCTGTGTCTGCTTTAATTTTTAACCCAGATTTCTATAGCTGATTGGGTTAGCTAAACTTAAGTATGAGAGCTAAATTGCAGTTAATTATCTCTGTAATGTAGCCATGGATTGCACTCTGAACCTGGGATGGGAATTCCATATCTCAAGTTCTTGGTCTTAAGGAAAAATGACTCATAAATATAAATATAGCTCTACACGCTTATGTTTGGTGTGTAACATTGTGTATGTGAAGAATATCATAATTTTCCCTCCAATTCTGATACTATATAGCCAATATAAAGTGCAGTAGGAGGCCAGTTGACAAGTATACATATAAATCAATTTATTTCCCCAGACCTATTTAGGAGAATTTCTGTGTACACTTTCCTTGCGTTGATTTTAACTTACATCTAAAATCACATATTCTGTTCTAGTTTGTGATATAGCCTTACATGTGGAATTCAGAACCTTTGTTCCAATCTTAGCATAACATAGATTAAGTTAGGTATAAAAAACTTTTTTTTCCAAATGTCTAGTGTGATATCCTTTTTGCAACACATCAATTTAGTGTGATCATGGCGACCCTCTGTTTAAGGCAAAATACGTTAAGTCATCAACACATACTTCTTCTAAATCCCTACTTTATAGTCAGATTTAAGTAAATAAGCTCCAAGCGGGCTAGGGCTATACCTTATATAACTCCTATTATTACCCTTCTGCACTGAAAAAAATAGTAAACATACTATAAATACTGGTTAAAGAGAATTAAAATGTTTCATTTATTCTTTGTATGATCCCCCTTTTTATCCACTTTATTCCATATTTTATGTGTTTTATCACCATTTCATTTTCTAGGTCATCCACCCTAAATCTAGTAAAAATAAAACCGATTTTTAAATAATTGTATACTAATTCTCTCTGTTATAAACTCTTCTGATTCTCAAATGGAAAAGGACAAAGTAGTGAAATATGGCTTTATCATATAGAGACAGCATGGCATGATGGAAAGAGCTTTGATAATCAACAGAACTGAGTTTGAAAGTCAACTAAGGCAGTTAGTTATACAACTTTGTGAAAGTTATTAAGTCCCTTAACATTGGTCTCCTCATCTATCATCTATAACACAGGGGAAATTAAATAGAATTATTCTCAAAATATGAGATCGTGCCAAATGCTTAGTATTTCATCAGTGCACAATAAATAAGAATCATTATTATCTTTGAATATAAGGAAACTCAAAATCAAAGTTACAGGCAGTATTAGATATGTTTCTAAAATATTTCTAACAATTTCTCAAATGTAACACCACATGAAAAAGATGGGGAAAATATTACCTCTCTATCCACTATATTAAAGTAACACACATATTGGAGATCCCACAGCATCTGGGGAGGAGTCAGCATGAGTAACCATCATGCCCATATTCTCCAGATATTGGTTTAACCAAGGTTTTTACTCTGATTATATATGTTTGGCCCAAGTTCCAGTAAGAGAGTAACTTATAACGCAGAGTAATAAAAAAGTAATATATTTTCCCTATTGGACCATGTCAGAGGAATTTTCAAATTTACTGATTCCAAGAGGTCAGGCAGCTTTAAATTTCATGAGTAATCCCCACCCCAGGAAAGAATTAGACACAGAGATGACATTTTTCAATGTTTAATTATTACAACTTTAACTTAGAACCAAAATGGTTATTAACAAGTATTTCTATGTCAAATATGATTTAGGTCATACTCTTTAAATTCTGAGAAATAACACTGTTCTCTTTGCAG